GATCGACAAATATTGATTTTCAAGAATTCTACACTATTTCTACGAAAAGTTGTTTTTTCCCCATATAAAATACATTGAAAACTTTGAGCGCTTTGAGCACACCCTAATTTTTTTTTATTTCAAAATAAAAAATAGGGGTATAATTTTTTTTGGTATAGAACAATCCTAGGGGCTGGCGGCATTAAAAATGCGACCTTATTTTTTTACATACATTTTTGGACCACTTTAGTGTACATGCATACAAAGTTCGTGTATAAATTTATTTCAGCCCATAAAATAATTTTTTGTTATAACGTTTAAATAAAAGGGTCCGGTGGGACTTTATTCTCCCCCTAAACAGATGCCTTGCTTTCAGCATTAGTGCGTTTCAACCGCATCTGATTAAGAGAGTTGTAGGATGACCAGACCCCGGCAATAACCCTAAGATAGGATGACCAGACCCCGGCAACAACCCTAAGATGGCATAGCTGGACATGAATAGTCTAGACTAATAGCATCTCCATCCACAATGCATTTTTTTATGGTTCATGTTTTTTTTTTGTTTGGAAAGTAGTTTCGGGATGTAAATGTTTTTTTTTTTGCTTTTACTCAAAGTCCTAATAGATGCATAAAGTAATTAAGCTGCTTTGAAGTTTTAAGGTATGTTATGTGTTATTTAATAAGAAAAGTCGACATATTAATATTGCATTGGCTTTATTCAACAGGGTATTAATTTTCGCTTGCATTCTTTTATGCGTAGCTTGCACTTTATGCCTTTTAGTGTATTCTTATCGCCAAATAATTTGGCATGTGTCAATTTACATATAAGACATTGTTGATTAATGCACACAAATGAAGGTAGACGCAAAATGTGGAATATACGTATGTCAACAAAAACGTGGGAATAAAGCATTTGCATTAATTATGCTTATGTGAACCAAAACGTGGGAATAAAGTCTTTACAATAATTTTGCTTACGGTCTAAAGTTTTATGGCCTTATTTTTTAACTACGTAAGCATTTAGGTTGTATAAAAACGTAATCATTAATTCAATAAAGTTCACTTGAAAGAAATCAAGCAAACAACAGTGTTCGAACTTGGCGTAATCGCTACTATTCTGAACATTCTGGTGACCCCTGTGAAAGGACATTCAGCTTAAACAAGGCCAGTGCAGCAGTTTAAGGAGCCACAAAACTAAACTAAAAGAAGAAAAATGGATCGTTTCGAGGATTTGGCCAGACAACAAAAAGAAACGGGCGGCAATATTAAAGCAATTGTCCGAAACTTTAAAAAGGACCCGCAATCCAGGAAGCAGTCAGTCAGCTATTACGAAGAGCGATTGAGAAGACTGGACACTTCGTCTGCTTGAAAATCCCCAGCTGGATCACGACTACTTCACAAAGGACTACTATAACAATATAATGGAAATTGTAAAGGAGATTTTCGAGTCCGCAGTGCTCCAATTGGCTCAAACCCCGACGAGAGAATTGCGCTTAACAACTGATGAAGGAAATACAGCTTCCAACGAGTACACTAAACTAGTTCGCAGACAAAGGGTAATGATGGCCTCGTTGCGACGTTTACTGAACAACAACGTTTCCAACAATTAATAGGCTGTGGGAAAATATAGAAAACATTCACTTCAGGATATATGAGATGTTCGACAACCCAACCGAGCAGGGCTACAAGCTCGATAACTTCCTTTCACTTGAAGAAAAGGTATGGAGTACTTTATAAGCAGCTAATAGTGACTCCCATTCTGAGAAATCTTTAAACCAACTTCCGATTAAACTGCAATCAATTTCATTGCCGAAGACAATTATTCCAAAATTCGATGCCACCTATTTAAAATGGCAAGAATTTCACGACCTATTCTCGCAACTGGTAATAAATCAACCTCTTTCAAAAGTTCAGAAAATGTGGTACTTGAAAACTCCCTTAGGGCCAGTTGTTCAATGTCTGGTTATCACTATCTACCAGTTAAACATCATTATCGATGATTTCGACATCATGCATATAACATGTGATAAAGCAGTCTTTGCATTTAACCGAAGCTTCTGCCTCCGATTTGTGTTAACCAGACAACGAACAACCGGCTCTTAGTGGGGGAGGCTGGAAATCTAATTAAACATTTCGCATCAACAGGAGAGAATTTTTATGCAGCTTGTTTCATGCTTCTGGAGCGTTACAACAACAAACGCTTGCTGGTGAGCAAGTTAGTAAATGAGCTAACTACTACACCTGGAAGCACATCAATGGACAATGTTAAAAAGCTGCATGACACAACACAAGAATGTCTATTAGCATTGCAAAATTTGCAGATAGACACATCAACATGGGAGCCACTTCTGCTCCCCATTCTACTAAAGAAACTGGATCAACCGACTCGTTTGCGGTACGAACAATCATTATCAAAGCCACGGGAGGTACAAACACTCAAGGAATTACTGCAATTTGTGGAGAAACACTTTCAATCCATGGAAGCGATGGGTGCCAAAGACAAATCTACAAGCTCAACTGCAAAGGTGTGCACTTCAGTCTCCAAAGGTCATAGAAATGACACTTGCAGCATGTGCAAAAAAGGAAAACATCCATTATTTTCTTGCAAGGAATTTTTACAACAGTCTCCATCGGCACGCTTTCAGTTCATACAAGGGCAGAAATATTGCCACAATTGCCTAAAACCGGGACATGGTTCTAAAAATTGTCTATTAAGAAACTGTCTGAAATGCAACAAAAAACACAACAGGCTGTTACATTTCGAGGATTCAAAAAGGGATGTGAGCAAAGACATTACATCAGTAGCCACTCCAACACAAGACAACGGATCGCAAAGTACTACACCATCCAGGACCAAATCAACGCCATCAAAAGACGAAGCAGCGTCACTTACCACCGCAGAGCACACAAAGTCAAACACATATGTACTACTCAGCACTGCCATGGTGAATGTTAGAGGAATCGGAACAGAAGTGCAGTGTCGGGCAACTCTCGATTCAGGCTCACAAGTTAATTTTGTGACTGAACGATTGGTTAAACGTCTTGGCATCTCAACTATACCAGCATCAATATCCATTAGTGGCATTGGGTCGAGGAGCACTAAGATACAGCATCGAGTCAATGTGGCGCTACAGTTTCGGATCAACAACTTTACAACGCGGCTAGAGGCAGCGGTATTGCCTCAGATTATATCCCCGCAGCCTTCGCAAGAAATCAAGATCGACGAATGGCAAATACCTGAGAACATCATGTTAGCCGATCCATCATTCAATCATCCTGACAAAATTGATATATTGCTGGGGGCGGAGTTCTACAACCAACTGATGGCAGCAGGGCAAACCAAACTGTCTGATGACCTACCCATTCTGCAAAGTACAGTGCTGGGATGGATCATCGCGGGAAAAGTTAGTGGCAACTACATCTCAAATGAAATATGTGGAATCTGTACCAACGATCACATCAACTTAGATGCAGCCATTGCTCGATTATGGGAACCTGAGGATGTTGCAACTGTAAGAAAACAACATTCCGCAGCAGAAAAACAGTGCGAAGCTCATTTCGCACAACATACACTCATCAATGAAAATGGGAGATTCATGGTAAGGCTACCATTTCATGAAAATCCGGAGGCCTTAGGGGAATCCTATGGGATGGCGTATAATCGATTCCTGGCCTTAGAACGTCGACTGGCAAAATCGCTCCAGACAAAGAATCAATATGTACAATTTATGGAGGAATATGGGATCTTGGGGCACATGACGCAAGTGGATATTGATTCCATCAGTAAACCTAGGAATCCTCTTGGTGCTCAGTTTCTACAGGACAAGTTTTATGTAGATGACGGAATTGGTGGGTCAGACAGCTTAACCACGACGATGGAAATCCAACAGCAACTGATACACATCTTAAAACAACGTGGTCTTAACCTAAGAAAATGGTGCGCCAATCACTCACAATTGCTGCAAAATGTTGGCATGGAGGAACAAGAAGTTGACATAGACTTTGACAATGACATCAATCAAACTATAAAAACGTTGGGGTTAATATGGATGCCTAAGATGGATCGATTCTGCGTAAAGGTATGCCTAGGAAGCTGCAGTCTTGCAACTAAACGCTCAGTAAGCGCCGATCTTGCAAGGCTCTTCGATCCGTTGGAGATACTAGCACCAATTGTAGTCATGGCAAAACTATTTATTCAAGGTCTCTGGCAACGGAAACTGACATGGAATGAAGCATTACCAGCCGATATGAATGAGAGATTGCCTTGAGCTCTGTGCATCAGTACTGGGTGCCCAACTAACTACAAGTGTCAAATCAGACCTTAAGCTAGACGATGTGGCTACATACTTTGGGACTGATTCACAAATCGTGTTGGCGTGGATTAACTCATCCTCAGCATCATACCAATTATTTGTGGCAAACCGTATAGCTGTTATTCATGAGCACACTGCCGCTGAACAATGGCGGCATATAAGCTCAAAAGACAACCCAGCTGACATTCTATCTCGAGGACTGCCACCGGGGAGACTAAAAACCTGCAATATGTGGTTTTATGGGCCAACAAACTTGCTTGGTAAACAAGTAATTTTTAGCAAAAAAAACCGACTTAAAAAAAATATATATATATCTATATATTTCATGAGATCTAAACCAAATTAGTATGGGACCACCTCTGAGACACTACCTTTCCGTTGCAAAAAAAGAATTATTGAAATCGGTTGACGTGGTGCAAAGTTATGCGGTAACATACATAAAAAAAAAAAATAAAATATTCCGACGAACTGATAACCTCCTCCATTTTTGGAAGTCGGTTAAAAAGACACTTGGCCTTCAAAATATTCCAAGGCATTATCAGTAATCGACGAAGGTATCAACATGGAACGGAAAAGGGTGACATCAGTCGCTGTTGCAACCACTGGACATGAAGGAAGCGTACTTTATAGCATTCGACACAATGGCTCTTTCAAAACGTTACAAAGAGTGACAGGCTACATGCTGCGATTTATCAACCAGGCCAGAAACCAATCGTGGCAGTCAGACATTCCCTTGACTGTACACGAATTGGAAAAAGCGCTTGTGGTAATCGTTCGTACAATGCAGCAATTGGACTTTGCGGAAGAGCTTCAGCACCTTAAAAAATACAACGACGTTCGCAAAAACAGTTCTCTCCGCAGCCTTTCACCGTTTCTGGACAATAATGGCATCATCCGAGTTGGGGGGCGTCTACAAGCATCAGAATTTGCATACGATGCCAAACCCCCCTATGCTAATTCCACATAACAATTCACTCGCCAAATTATTAGTACAAATGATCCATAAAGAAAACCGTCATTGTTGACCTCAAGCGCTCTTAGCTTACACAAGGCGAAGATTTTGGCCTATTAAGAGAAAATTGCTGACACGATCAATTGTGCTAAACTGTGTAAGATGCACCAAAGCTAAGCCAAAACTAATGAGTCAAATTAATGGGAACTTGCCTTTAACAAGAGTAACTCCAGCAAGACCATTCATCAACTCAGCCGTGGACTTCTGGGGGCCAGTTTGGGTTCACTTCAAGATAAGGGGTAAGAATCCACAAAAGGCCTATGTAGCGGTATTTTGCTGTTTTGCCACAAAGGCAGTACATTTGGAATTAGTCAGCGACTTAACGACGGATTCATTTATTGGTGCCTTAAAACGATTTATAAGCCGAAGAGGACATGTCAAAATTTATATTGTGACAACGCAACCAATTTTGTAGGCGCGAAAAATTAGCTTTCTGAACTTACTGACGTTGTTTATGGAAATTCATCACGAGAATCAATAGTAAAGCAGTGAAGCGGAAAGGGAATAATATTTCATTTTATATCTCCTAGGACTCCACATTGTGGCGGTTTATGGGAAGCAGCGGTGAAATCAGCTAAGCAACTACTAATAAGAAGCACCTCGACAGCGTCCTTAACGTATGAAGAATTGGACACGGTAATTATCGAGGTGGAAGGAATCCTAAATTCCAGACCAATCAGCCCAATGTCCGACAATCCTAACGATCTAACAGCTTTAACTCCAGGCCACTTCCTCATAGGAGAACCCCTTAATGCCCAAGTTGATCCTACGTGTAGGCCACAGCAAACAAATTTATTAACAAGATGGAAACTTGTTTCTCACCTCAAACGCGAGTTTTGGAATCGGTGGTCCCGCGAATATTTATCTGACCTTCAGCTGCGAAATAAGTGGAAGACACAACACAACAACATCAACGTAGGTGACATCGTGATCATCAAAGAAGACAACACACTGGTACTTCAGTGGAAGAATCATCAATGTATATGAAGGAAACGACGGTGTAGTGAGAGTGGCTGATGTAAAAACTGCTAGTGGCACCTGCAAGAGGCCTATTCATCGGCTTGCACCCTTGCCCAAGCAAATAAATGATGCCACAGAACGACAATCAACCAACAAATTGCTTGAGGAAGACAAAATTCCATCAAGGAAGAATAATCCTTCCTTACACCAAGGACTTGCTACACTTCTGATTACCCTACTCATCTTGCCATTGGCTTTAGGAGCTGAACTTCAAAATAAGCGGCTTGGATCAAGGCTTGGCATTCATTTTGAAGGAATAGGCTCAACAGCCATATCAATGCTACCAATTCCTACTAGGACTAATGGGACTATGCTTGAAATAAGTCCGTGTGCTGCAGTTTTGGCAATAAACACAGCTCTCGGTCAATATTTCCCTCTGAGCATTTCCAAATTTCAATCTTGTGTGGATATCAAAAATGGAAATTACATCTGTTCTAAAATTCAAATTCGTTATAGTCACGGTTCATCTAAATGCGCATGTGCAGTAAATTTGTTCAACAACAAGGTAACCGAGGTTCAATGTCAGTTGAAGATTCTCTGTTTCGGCTAGAATATCTGAAAGAACAATACGCGTGTTCATGGGGAGAAATTCTACGCGACTTCCATAGGCTATTGAGTGGGGAGGGGCGTGAATGGCTTTATATTAAGTCGCATGGTAAAGTTCATTGGCCTAGCTTGCAATTCGCACTTCGACGCCAATTCGCATCACAACACACCGACTTCGAGCTTCTGATGGAGTTGAGTGAGCGGAACCAAAGACCTGGTGAATCCATAGATGAGTATTTTCACGTGGTGGGTACACAGCGCTCACGACTTAGAAATTCAATTCCGGAGTACGAGATTATTCGATTAGGGAATGTAAGGAAGTGGAACGGTGTTTTCCGCGTAGAGATCGCACACTAACAAGTGGCTTTGTTCCACGCTCACAACACGTCAATGAAATCATGTCGATCGAAGTCGAAGAACATTTCTCTCCCGGTGATGAGGGTCAAGTCGCCGTGGAGAAAATACGCCACCAAGGTGCGGCTAGACAGCCAGCTGGGCGCAGAAAGATATCGTATGGGAATTGTGGTGTGGAAGGCCATCTCTTCACCGATTGCATGTCCATGCAGCGCCGAATATTTTCCTTCAAATGTGGGAAGTCAGATGTTATAACACCGAAATGCCCGGTATGCAACCCAGCGGGAAACGCCTTACGGAACGCCATTACGACGGGGGAATCGCGCTTCACACAAACCCCGCACCAGTAGATGCCTCGACCAACACACCAACAGCCGGCGGGCTAAGTCGTGAGGTAAAACGACCTGGAACTACAACAAATATTAGCATTTTCGAAAAACAAAAATAACACAAATAAAGAGTTGCCCAGGACTGTGAGCATGCCATCCTACGAAGAAAGAATGAGGAAGTATTTGGAAGCACGCCAACGCATTTTTGCCGACAGCGCTTTGATGGGACGCAGAAGGGTGTCGCGGAAGGTTCAAAAGGCGCGTGACAGGTTTCGACAACGTAAGCTGCTGCGCCGTGTTTATGCCGACATCGAAATTCAGGGTATTCGTACACGCGGATTGTTAGATACTGGCGCATCAGTAAGCATTCTGGGCCGTGGCTGTAGGGAGTTCATAGAGGAACTAGATGCCTCAATTGAACGGTACGTTTCCAGTGTAAAAATGGCAGGAGGACGCTCACACAATGTGCTAGGCAAACTCACCTTACCTGTAAAGTACAAAGATCTAGAACAAAATATTTATGCCCTCACCTTGAACAAAAGATCTACTTAGGGGTGGATTTCTGGCGCGCATTCCAGTTGGATCCAGATGTGATATCAATAGATGAAATCAACTTCAGCAAATTAGAGCGCGATTCGGTGACCGAAGAGCATAAGGACGAGCGGCGTGTCCTGCATATTCTTCCGCCAGAGCAAAAACAACGTCTACAGCAGGTGGTCAGCGGCTTCAAAACTTATGAAGAACATGGGTTAGAACGCACTCACCTTGAAAAGTATTCCATCAAGCTGCTCGAAGATGCGGTGCCAATCAAAGACCGCCACTACCCTTTGTCCCCGTCAATGCAAGCGATCGTTTACGAAGAAGTAGATAAAATGTTGGAATTAGGCGTGATCGAGGAAAGCGAAAGCCCGTGGAGTAACCGCACGACAATTGTTCGTAAACCGGGGAAAAATCGCTTCTGCCTCGACGCGCGCAAACTGAACGCTGTAACCGTGAACGACGCCTACCCGCTGCAGAACATCGAAGGCATACTCAGCCGCATCGACGACACCCACTTTATAAGCAGTGTTGATCTAAAATTCGCTTTTTGGCAGATTGAGTTGGAGGACAAATGCAAACCATACACTGCGTTCACGGTACCTGGACGGCCCCTGTATCAGATTGTAACAATGCCGTTCGGTTTATGCAACGCCGTGCAGCGGTTGTGCCGACTAATGGATCGCGTAATTCCTCAGAATCTTAAAGGAAACGTTTTCATATATCTTGATGATTTGCTGATCATTGCGCCAGATTTTGATTCGCACCTACAAATCCTAAGCGAGGTATCCACCTGTTTGAAAGATGCGAATTTAACCTAAAGTGGTTGATGTCGGTAAAAGATTTAAGTGGGAGATAAGCCAGGTGGTCCCTACAACTGCAGGCATTCAATTTCCATATCGAGCCCCGCAAAGGCGCTGACAACATAGTCGCCGAAACACTATCGCGCTGCATTTAAGAAATCGCGGACTCACCAATAGCAACCATGGACACGCTGGAGTTCGAATCGCAGGCATACCAGGAGTTGGTGAAGACGGCCCAAGCTAATGTCGAGCGACTGCCCGACCTAAAAGTAGAGGATGGTCTTGTCTTTAAGAAAGCTTTAGTTAACGATGTCGAATGTGAGGAGAATGAGTGGAAGCTGTGGGTGCCTGAGT